ATTCGAGTATGGTCCTGTCATAATTTAATAGGGGTTTAGTTTCCTATTCCTAGTTAACTTGTAGCTCAAGTTCTATGAATTATAAATAGGACTTTTAGGGCTAGGTTAATTAGGAGAAGAGATGAGAAAATTCAAGAGTGAGAATTTTCGAGAGAGACATAAGAAAATTCAAGAGGACAAATTCTTGGGTGTTTACAAGGGCGTCAAATGATTTGGGCAAGGGTGAGAGAAAATAGAGCTATGGTTCTTGTGAAAGATAAGGGGGTTCTTTATTGTAACCAGAGTTGTTCTTACATACTAGTGAATTTCTCGGGTGTATCACCAAGAGGATGCAGGCACGAGGATGAATCTCTATAAATCTCTTGTGTCCTTATGTATCTCTCTTTGTGGTGTGTGTGATTTATTCGAAAGGGGTTTGTGTATCGTCGCATAGTTCATTAACAACAAGGTCTTGGAGTGTTTTCGCACAACTCAACACTAATTGTTGTACAGAGTCCACTAACTGTCCAAACCATACACGGATATTGTCCCCACCTTAAACCCTAAACCCCACTAGCCTACTCACCTTTCTCCACCAGTCCAAGCATCCAAGCATTTTTACTTGTGTTGCCTTCTTGAATATGCCTCATCATTTGGCCAGCGGGCTTATAGGTCAATGGGGGCCAGCCCGGCCCGGCCCATTATGGGCTTTGAAATGGCCTGGGCCCTCCTTGGGCTCGGCTAGGTTTGGGCTTGGGTGTCAGAAGCCCAGTCTGGTCCATAGGCTCGGCCCGATTAAGCCCAAGAAGGTCAGGCCCGCCCACAAAAGTCCGGTCCGTTAGGCCCGCATACATATATAATTATGTATAAATAAGAGTTTAGGTTTAGGATTATATCACTTAAATCACATATATAATTTGTTTCATTTCATTTACTTTTCTTTACTCATTATTAGTTTATAATTGGATGATTAACACATTAATTTACTTTAAAAAAAATATTTTTTTGATACTTATTATTTTTTAAAACATATTACATTATAATTATATAATAACCTCAAAAATAATACTTGGTTTTATTATTTTTGTGGAAAATCTTATTAAGTTGTGTGACTTTATTGGGTGTTTTATGAATTTGGTTTGATGTGAAAATATTGGAATTAAGTGAGTTTAATCTCAAATTTGGACTAAAATGCCCTTATGATTAAGTTTATGACTTTTTTTTAATGAAGTAGGCCTGTTTAAGCCCGGCCCGATGGGCTTTCTCAAGCTCGGCTCATGGGTCAGGCTTGAGCTTTGAATTTTCTAAAAAAAACCCGGCCCGGCCCAGTCTGATATTTTCTCTCTCCTCTTTAAAGCCCGACCCGGCCCAGCCCAAGCCCATTAAATTTGGGCCGGACTAGCCTGGCCAGGCCCATTGACGAGCCCTATTCTTGAACATGTCAATGGCTCTACCTTGAACCAAGTGCATCTAAATCAAACTAGGCTTTGATACCAATTGTTGTACCAACGGACTAATAGGAGTCCACTACCTGTCCAAATCATGCACCAATATTGTACCCACCTTAACCACCTGAGAGAGCAAAGGCCTAATGGACCTCTAGGTGCGGGGTTTTAGGAGTGGACCACCTATATTTGAACTGTAGATTATTGTTATATTCTCTGATGTGAGACTTGCACATCATGACTTGTATCAAGCCACCTACACCAACAAAGTCTGGTAGTTTGCATATTTCATATTTGCAGCTATGCGGCTTATGCATGAAGGGTTGGGTTTGATGATTTTTTAAAGAATTCTTGGTCACGTGATAATAGGGGTTTATTAAAAAAACAAATTTAAAATCTCACGTCTATTTTCAGAACTTGGACCCATGAAGGTTTTTGTCCATAATTCCAAAAGAAAAAACGAACTTTAACTAGATTGGATGGTATTCAGAGCGTTGTGAAGGAGGCATAGCTCTTATCTTTGGCTTCCAGAAAAGAAGATCAGTAATGAATCCAATGATATTTTGGCTCAGGAGGAACTTTATTGCAAACAGAATTCTAGAAATTTGTGGCCAAAGGAAGGTGATTAAAAAACAAAGTTTTCCCTTATCTACAATAGTTAGAAGAAGAAAAAATAAATTAGAAGGGTTGGAGAATGATTCTGGTTAATGGATTGATTCTGGTTAATGGATTGATTCCAAGGAGGAAATGAGGAAAATTGTTATTCAGTGGAAGAAATGTGGTGCGCTTGTGCAAAACTGCTTTAATAGTGCGAACATTCCTGAGGGACTCAATAATGCTTTGATTTCTCATATTCCTAAAGTGGACAAGCCTACTTTTTTGAAGCAACTAAGGCCTATAAGTCTCTGCAAATTAAGACCTTTCATAATTAAGTCGGTGTCTCTCTCACTAATTGAGCTTTGTCTCAAAGAGACAAATTGTGAATAATATTATTATCTCGCATGAGATTTTGCATAAATTTAGAGGAGCCAAAGGTAAGAAAGGTTTCATGGCATGGAAGGTAGATTTAGCCAAAGCTTATGATTAGTTGCAGTAGGACTTTATCATGAGCAATTCCGCAGGAAATCGGTTGATGTGGTTAGTTTCTTGATTTGATCTCAAACTGTGTTAACACTGTTCAGTTCTAAGCATTAGTAAATGGTGAGATTGTAAGTGTATGCATTTTATATTTTTCTTTTGGCTTCCCTTGACAATTTTGTAATAGGACAATCATTGTATTTTCTCAAGCTCTATTTTAGATTAAGAATTACATCTCTAGATGTTCTTATCTGGCTACATTATCATGGACAACAATGTGTTTGACAAAGGTAAGTTTTGCATTGCATTAACTAAATTCCTAAAGATTATGACTAGTCATCTTTCCTTCGTATGACTAGTCAACTTTGGAATTGTTAGGAGTTCCAGTTGGATCTACCCATTTGTTTTTGTCCTATTCTGCGAAATTCTCTGCTGCCTTGTAGGAATTTTGGTGTAAAAACTAGTGCATTCTTCAATTGGTAGCCGTCACTTTGGTAGGCAAGTTTTGGAAAGTTTCTTTGCAAACTTTCGCTCTTTCCTTAAGTGTAACCTTCATATTTTTCATCTTTGAGTTTTCCAAATTGTTTCCTTTTGAAAATTGCATTTGAAATATGAAAACCTCATCTTGCTAGATCAAACACTCTCATATATATATATATATATATATCCAAGTCAGATTCAAGATTGATTTCTTCAAGAGTATGGTTTCTTGAATAAATTGGTCATTCTCCCTTTGAATCCAAATTTCGTTCTTGTTTGAGTTGGAGCTAGCCAGCTGGTGCCATGGGATGAAAGAGCTAAAGAAGGAGCTACCATTGCCATGAAGACCTAAGCTGTTGGTTTTGCTAAGCTAGAGAAGAAGATTGCACAAATGAGGTAAAGCTCATCTTCCTAAATATACCTAGGAATTTCTTGAGCTTGCTAGTGTTTCTTTGTATGAATCTTTTTGCTTAGTGGATTGCTTGGTCGGTTGATGACCCTCAATTTTTCCCAATGGTGGGTTTCTAGGTGAACAATTTCTGGTTTCCATCTCTGTAAATTTTCTAGGTTTGTGTTCTTGATAGTTGACTAGCCATCGCATGAAGTTCATGTGTTTCTGGGTTTGTGTTCTTGTGGTTGACTAGTCATCATTTTCTGCTGTTTGGTGTTTACTCGATTATGCTGCCTTTACACACTTTCATCGTAGTTGTTGCTAGCACAAGGGATGCCTAGATTGACGGGTCCTTCTGAGTGCATAGGTTGTCACTAGTAATTCTCTAGCCTTGCAGGTACATCTTGATATGCTTTGTATATGTTATTGTTTGGTGTAATTCATATCTAACAGTTGACTAGTCATAAGAGTATTTGGTCAAGGTCTAGAGTGTGAAGTTTGTTGTGTTTTTGGTTGAATATCATTTAAATTTACCCCTCGTCACCTAAGTACCTATTACAGAGATGACTAGGAAGTTTATTCCGAAAGGTGTGGTGAGCCAAAGGGATCCTTTGCCCCCATATCATCTTGTTTTATGCCTTGAGTAGTTAGCTCATATTCTACAACATCATGTCATAATGAAACTTCGGAAACCAGATTTGGCAGCTAAGAAGGGGACCCATATTTCCCACCTATTTTTGCTGATGATGTGATTCTCTTCGCAGAAGCTTCTCCAAAACAGGCCAAGACTATGAGCAAGGGTAGTATTGATTATTTCTATAAGATGTCCGAGCAGTTAGTGCATTTTGAGAAGTTTGTGGAGTATTACTCTCCTAATATTGAGAAAGTTAAAGCGATGGAGATTTCCCAATGATGTGGTTCCCCCTTAACCAATGACTTGGGAAGATACTTGGGTGTTCCACTAATTCATGGAAGGAAGACTAGCGACATAAATAAAAGACTGAATCCCTTTCTATGGTTGGCAGAGTGGCTTTGGTTCAGTCTGTTACTTCTACTATCCCGATCTATATACTATGCAAACGGTTAAACTGCCTATGACAGTTTGTAGGGAGTTGGATAGGTTGAATAAGAACTTATTTGGAGTTCAACTGATAGGAGAAGGAAAGTGCATCTTGTCAGTTGGAGTACTATTTGTCCGAAGAATAGAGGTGGTCTGGGGTTGAAAAATACGGAGCATGTTAATCAAGATCTCCTTGCAATAACTTGATAGAGACTGGTGAAGAAAGATAATGGTTTATGGGTCCATTAACTAATTTTATTATAATCAAATTCCTCATTATTACAAGAATCCCCAAATTGATAGGACTAATTATTTGACCTAGGATCTTCAAATATTTGCTTCCACACACCTAAATATCATAATTCTTGTCTCGACACATATTAGTACAAATTGGTTTCCTTCCATTGCCTTCCCCACTGTGCAATGACAGATTCTTATTTGCTCATGAACATTAGTTATTCTTCTTCAGTATTCTTAATGCAAAAACAAAATTTAAAGTGCGAAGAGTTCAATAACATAAGAAGAAATTATTTAAATTTTATCAGATAAAACCATAATCGCAACATACCTGACCAAGTGATCTTCATTCGATTACATTCTTCATTTCCTTCATTTTGAACACTTACACGAATATCACTGATGGCACGCTCTATGTGTATACCTTTCAAAAAATGACAGTAATTAACCTTAATCAATATATTTCGAATTACTATTTCTATCACAATTATGGATATCTCCTCATAATTGATTTACGTATATATGTTTTGTGTGTTGTCAACTTTTTCCATGTCCCCTCATGTTCCTGTGTTAATATTCTGTCACATGTGCTCTTAGATAACAGTGTGAAAATACCTTTAACTCTTAATTAAAAATAGAATATTAAAAAGAAAAGAACAGTTCTGATCCTTCATCTTCTTCCTTTGTCTTCCCAAACCTCGCAGCCAACAGACCCCTTCCAATTTTGAGATGAGAAGTTAAAACAATAATAAAAATCCAAATCAGCATTTCCACATCTCTCATCTGGGTGTTCCATTTCGTTCTTTGTCTGATGTTTTGAACCCCTCCCTCCGATATAGTCACTGAAGTTGTCATTTCTTAGCCATTAAGATCAATAACTATTATTTTGAAGTTTCAAGGCTCAAATTCAAAAGCGCAGTCAATTTTGAAGTCTTAGGTTCATTACAGTCAATGTAACATTGAAAATATATAATTGTAATTGTACGAGGGAAAAGAATGTGGATACTAACAATTATAGATCCATATTTGCCAGAATTTGAGGCTTGTTCCACTCGGGAATGCAGAAGGCATAAATCCTTCCATCGGGAATGCCCCATCTTGGCCCTTGGTAAAGACCAATCGTGGACAACACTGAATTAATTCCCGAGCAATACCTGTAGTAGGGAAAAACAAGTTTTTATAATTAAGGAAAAAAAGGAGTAATCAATTTCATTGTTATAAGATTAAAACTCTTACCAAATTTCATGCCCATAATAAAGGTGCGAAGAAGTCCAGCCCCGTATGGTCCTTTTTCTGGCATTAGATCTTGGAAGGGAGTGACGGAGTAAAGATAATCAACGATATCCCATTGTTCATTCATAGAAGCCAAGACAAGTGGAGTCACATTATGGCGGTCCCGAGTGGGAATACTAAGTATTTTCTTGCTCTTTCTAACCATGCATTCAACCATTTTTATATTTCCTCTACTTGCAGCAAGAGCAAGAGCTGTCCAACCATCATTATCGGTTATTTCCAAGTCTTCCTCTGACATCACCTGCATCAACTCTTCCACAATATGCTCGTGCTCTAGTTGTGTTGCCATGTGAAGAGCTGTCTCTTTTGTAGATGGAAGTCTTGTTCTTATTGCATTGGGATGTAGTGTAAGAAACTGCTTTGCTTCATCCCAATCCCCACTCCACACAGCATCGAACAACGGCTGACATTGATGGAAGTCATTGTAATATCCTGCGCAAAATTTGTTTAATTAATTTTATTAATAATTTCAGATAACATAATCCATTTATTTTTTGTGTTAATAATTGAATGGATTGTACCCATGCATATAATATGTATGTAGCTGTTTTGTTTTGTTTTTTTTTTTTTTAGTCAGATCAAGAATATGTAGTTAGAAGTGTAAACGAATCATATATACACTGCTAGTTTATTTAAGGAGATTCACTATTATACCCAATGTAAGGGCCAAAATTATATAATGAAAAAATAATATATGAAATGAACTTTAGAAATACACTTAAAAGTTCATTTACAATATAACAAAAAGGCTTCGAACTTCCTATAAATTACAAAACTTTTGTCAATTTGTTAAAACTAGCCCAACCCTAAAACCTCATAAAAAAATCCCAAATCACTCAATAGGGCATCAAAGTAATTTAATTAATAATAAAAATTAAATTCAATAGGGTCGGCTGTTTTTTTTGGGTTTTTTTTGTTTATTTATATAAATTAAATAGTGTAAGGTTTATCGGTATCACTAGTGCTACAAATGAGTATATAACTAAATTTCTCAATTATTTATTAGTTTTTATTTTTCGCTATAATTCCCAAGATTTTGATCCAAGAAGAAAAACAAGTTTATCATATGCAAAATGGCCCTACAAAGTGTCTCCTCAATTAATTGAAGGGGATGGCTGAAGTTAAAACTTCCACTCTTTTTTTGGGAGTAAAACCTCCACTTTTTGCAGCACGTTTGTTACATTAATATATGATTACGATTTGAAGTACACTTCGTTTTCCCTCCCTCATGAATTATATATAGATTGTGTCAATTTACCCCCAAACTTTTATTTCAACCAAATTTTCCCATAAAATATACAAAACTGGTTGATGTACCCAACTGTAATTCTTATCAATTACATCAACCATATCGTCAATTAAAGTCACGTTTTAAGAGACTCATTATCGTTTGACATCATATTCTTTACAAAAAGTGGCACTAATTGTCATTTTGCAAAAGTCAGGTGCTTAGCAATTGACTAACTTTTGAAGACTTTCAAGGCAACTTTTGTGTAAAGAATATGGCGTGGGATGCGAATTTGTTTTGCCTAACATCTTGAATGGAATTGCTCGGAATATGAGCATGGGGTATAAATTGGGTAGTTTCATGATTCATGGGGAAATTAGCTATTTTAAAATAAATAAGTAAAGCCAAAGGGGTAAATTGACACCGTTAAATTTAATTTCAACATTGTTACACATGTAATTTGCATAAGTAGGGAGATCAAAATGTAAAAGAACAAAACATAAACTGATCAGTCCTTATATCCGTGTTAGTATAATAAGAAACATAAATAGTGGTCTTGTGGTTAATCAATTAAATGTTTAGGGTATAATTTGGTTATATATATATATATTAATTTCTGTTTTAAGTCGAATATTTACTTCTCACAGATTTGTTGAGGTTCAAAATTTGAACCGGGGACTTACCTGGTTTTGGCTTGAAGTTTTCTGCCAAAGTATCCCAAGCGCGTTTGGCTGAACTGGTGTTTCTAATGAGGGAAGAAGCTTCCCGCCCGCACGAAATTTGGATTGTATGTAAAGCCGTGGCATTCTTCTCCCTCCAAGCTTTGAACTTATCATCAGCTTCGTCTTGTTCCACTACATCCCAAAGGTCTTGAGCCAACAAGTAAGTTTTAACCCATACACTCCAATCCACATAGTTACTGCTATCAAGAAGTTCCACAACAGCTGCATCTGCGGAGACGGCCATTCTTAGATGGATCTGACCAAGGGCTTACTTAGGAGAGGCTTTGCAATTTCTGTTTTAATTACTATACCCAATTGAGTGAAGAACCACTTGTTAAAGCAATGGGTGAGGATATATAAATATTATATACCGTATACACACGCTCATTACAGAGTCTTTTTTTAATCAGAAGAGTCTTTTAATTGGGATAGGCCCCACCGTATTGTAAACCCAAAAACGCGTCTAATGGACCAGTTACTGCTGGTGTCTGTTTTTTCAACTCATTCACACTTGCTTTTGTTTGTGCCCGACCACATTATAATTGACCCTCTGAAGCTAACTCTACTTAGGACACTTTTTCTCTCTCTCTTTTTTTTTTCTTTTTTGTTTTTGTTTTTTTCACTTTTATTATGCTGGCAACTATTGTAATCTCTCAAAAGTATTTTTTTTCCCACTTTTATTTTTCTCAACTGAAGAGGATTATATATATACACCCGCTCATTACTGAGTCGTTTTTTTTGGTATCAGAAGAGTCATTACTGGAGAAGTTACAGCTGGTTCGTTTCTGTCTTGTTTCAAATCATTCACACTTGCTTCTGTCTTGTATCACCATTAACTTGCATTGCAATTAACAAATTAAACCAAACCATCGTAATTATAAATTCAATTTATAATGAAGTTGGCCATGTGCACGCACAATTCAACAGAGGGTAATTTATATTAACACACTTGAGGTTTTTAAGGTTTTTATATAACTCCTCCAGATCATGATAATTACACAAACACCTTTTCAAGTTTCAACACTCCATGAACAGCCAAAACACTCTTATCCAAATCGTAATATACCCTTGGTTGAATACGGTCGAATACCATCTCAAATCTTACACATTATTGCCAAACAGGTCTAGCCAAGTGAATTGCCAAAAAATAAAAAAGCCTATCCTAGTGGAAAATGAATTTAATTTGTTGACTAATATAGTTTGGGTTCAAACTCCCCTGACATCTTGGTGGTGTGTGTGTGTGTGTGTGAGAAACCCCTCTCTCATTTAAGTTTCGACAATCGCTTGTACTAAAAAAGGGTTATCTGCTAAAAAACACTACAAACTATCACGCATGTCGAAATCTCCACCCTAAACTTGTTTTCCTGCCAATTTAGCCCTCATACTAAATTTTCTTGCCAATTTACTCCCCACCATTTGACAGGACCCGTCCCGAATTTCTTTTACTCCCCACCATTAGTTTTGGCAATTTTCATCCAAATCTCTATAATTAAACATTGAATAAATTTGGGGTCGGGGTGTTACACCATTAGTTTTGGCAATTTTCATCCAAATCTCTGTTTAAAAAAATCACATGTTAGGCACATGCTTCACTGTTGAATTAAAAATTGATTTTTTTTCTTTGCTTCTTCAAAGAGCTTAAATTTCTTCTCCTTCCTCTTACTGGGTTTTGGGTTTAGGTTGGTTTGAAATTTACATCCTCATCCTCTTCGTTATAAAGGTTGAGATCGATCTGACGGTTTCGATCTCGCGGTGGAGAGATTAGGGTGTAGTGGAGGGTTAGTGGGCTGTGGCACATAAGATGATTGAGAGAGAGAGAGAGAGAGAGAGAGAGAGAGGTGTAAATTTTGTATTTTGGATTGATTTCATAAGTGTGATACATGAGAGATTTATACATAGTTGAAAACCCTAGTAGAGATATACAAGGAAACTAAATCAACAATACAACGAAGGTAAATCAATATTAACACATCTACAAATATGGAAGGACGATTCCTGCAATGCAGAGGATTCCTATAATGGAAGAAGGGCCTAACGGCCATGAGTTGATTGCGTGATATTCCCCTGAAACTGGACGGTAGACCTCGATGGACGAGTTTTTCAGAGAGCTGGAGATGACAACTTTTGTGAAGACTTTTTGTGAGGAGGTCAGCAACTTGATTAGTGGAAGGAACAAATTGAACATGATGACTGCCAAGGGCAACTTTCTCAGGAACAAAATGATAATCCAATTCAATATGTTGTGTGAGCGTGACGAACTGGATTCGTAGTTAGATAGGTGGTATTGATTTTGTCACAGTAGATGAGAGTAGGAAATGTAACCGGGCTGCCAAGCTCATGGAGAAGACAACTAACCCAGACAGTTTCGACGCAGGCATGAGCTAAAGAACATTACTCAGATTCAACATTGGAGTGAGCAATGGTTGGTTGCTTCTTGGAACACCAAGAGATGAGAGTGGTAACCAAAAAGATGAGATAACCGGAGGTAGAGCAATGGGTGTCTAGGCAACCAGCCCAGTCAGCATTAGAGTAGGCACGAATAGTTAGTGGTGAAGGAGAGGGACGTATATGCCAAGCAGTAGGGAGACCCCCAACCAGGTTTAAAAGTAGGTAGCAAAATATATTTATTAAATATAGCCCAGTGTCACAGGTTGCACATAAGCAAGTGCTACCGTAACTTCGTTGGGACATCTATGCGCTTTAGAGGTAGTCTAAGTCTGGAAGGGCGAGAGCTTAAGAGCTAGAATGGTTGGTGTTGGTCGGGTTGCACTTGTGAAGGGTATTTTGGGTATTTCTGAAGGTTACGGGAGGAACCTGAAGAACCTAAGAATACCAGCACGTTCATGATGTTGAGATGCAGGTAACGCAACTGACGGTTCGCCATTCAGAGTTCGTACGAAGGAGTTATGCCCAATTATGACTTCTCATGCATAGGTGATGTTTCCTCCTAGCAGAAGACTAAATGCATAAAATGCTATATAGGGCGTGACATGGTGTCATGCTCTCCACCACCCCTGGTGCTTACACCCTTGTGGCACTAAGCGAGCATCCTTGTGCCATTTGAGGTAGTCCTAAGGGCGGGCATAAGATTGTTGAAGGATAATCTGTGTCTTCGAGGGAAAGGAATTCTCGAGGACAGTACGAACACACGGGGCCGTTCGTATTGCGCATTGTTATAAAGAGTGAGGTCAACGTATGACATTCGCTATGCCATCGGCTAGCGAGGCATTTGACAATACTTAATGGACTTGGCTTGGGTTAGGCCTTGTCCATGATAGAAGGAAGATATTTGGATGCCGGTACGCATAGGTTGTGACCCCATGCAATGCATAGAGGATTATGTGGGACATTCAGAATACATATGTCTCCAAGGCTTGGGCGACATGCAAGTATGACAGCTTGCGTGTATAGCTTAAGGATGTGGGCTGTCGTGGACGCTAAAGGAATGACCGATAGAAGTGTGGGTGAATTGATGGTGTGTTGGATCGCTATGTCTTGACTTGGACATGAGCGAGCCATGAGTAAGCATGCGATGTGGTTGATGCAGTTGACATGTCTTATGCAACGCTTGATGTATGGGCGTAAAGTGTTCGTTGCCGAATGTGGAATGATTGTATTGTCACAAGGTAGTGTGACTCGTTGTCTAGTGGGAGACGACACTTAAAGGTGAACCTCTCGCGGAGTTGTGAGAGTCATGAATATTATGAAGTGGGAGAAGGCTGACTGAGATCCAAAGGGATCCTAGGCCACACGGGTGTGCTTTGAGTGGCAAAATTTGTGTTTCGCTTCCCCCGCGCCGCGCCGCTCACTCATCCCGTGACACCAGGCATGGTTTATCTTAAAACCAAAATCATAATGCACAACAACATAAAAGAAATATTTCACTTACTTCCCATTAAACCGGGATGTCAAGATAAAACATGGATGCTCATACAACTTTTTAAACTGGGAGTCCAAACATTTTCTTTTTCACGCAGATCGCTCCAACTAAAAATACAAATTTTTCTGGGGGCTCATAGAGGGATTCCTTAAATAAGTTTACAGCGATCTTCAATTGAGGGATCCAACATCCCTGTAGGGCCCACTCTGTATTTTATTCACTAATCCAAACTGTTTATTTTGTAGAATCATTCAAAGATCATTTCTACGAAAAATCACTTGAATTTGGATTCATTTGATCACTTAATTAGAAGATTATTGATACATACTTTTTCTTATAGCATTGTGTTAAGATTCTTCCTCTTCATCTTTAGAGATTCAGTTACGTTTGTTAAGAACTTCCACAACAATTGTACACATCATTTAAAGAGACTAAATGTACCATACAAGTGTTCAAAAAACTAAAAAACATAATGCAAGGATAATAATGATATTTCACACATCATTCAAATTTAAAAATATTACAGCTGGCCCTTTTGGAATTTTTCTTCAATTTAAAGGTTTATGTGTAAATTCAATGCAAGAAATGAGTTTTATTATAAATATATTTTTTTAGATTGATATATTGTAAGTGTTGAAATATATTAGGGAACACACATAAAACCACACTTTTTAACACACCATTTAAATTATCAAATTAAGTAAGTTTCAACCTTAAGAATTGTATTTGTTTAATGGGCAATCCTTTTCTTTCACACATCATTCAAATTTAAAAATAATTAAACATTGGGGACAATATAGTAGCCCAACTTTTAAGACTATTCATTATTTTATTATATTCTCTCTCCCCTCTCTTCCTTTTTCTGTTTAATGGGCAAATTTTTTCTTGCATCTTCTATCTTCTTCACTGACAGGACCCGCCCCAGAATTTCCCCTGAAACCGGGGCGGACCCCGTCTTGGTGCCGACATCACACTGATGCCGGGCCCACTACTAAAAATCCAAGACATCCTACCAAAATTTTGGCAGAGTCTCCCTTGTAAAATGCTCAAACCCAACAATATTCAACCTGCATAATTTACATAATAG